ACTCCACAACCTCCCTGGGCAGCCTGTTCCAGGGCTCTGTCACCCTCACTGTCAAGAAGTGTTTTCTCAAGTTCCTGTGGAACTTTTGGTGCCTCAGCTTGTGGCTGTTTCCTCYASTCCTATCACTGGCCCCCACTGAAAAGAGGCCACCCCCTCCTCCTCACTGCCCCCCTTGAGGTATTTATACACACTGATCAGATATGTAAGTAGTAATGAAGTGCTAGATATGTAAGGAAGAGAGAGGGTATTCTTTTGTGTAGAAATTTCTCCTTGGAACAGAAAATTTTTAGCCCTCAGATTCATTGATTTTCAGGGTATGGAACAGGCCAAATCTATACATATACAGGTAAATGGCACCGCACAAGTCTTGTAATTCTGGTTAACTTCAGTTTCTTTCCTCAGTAGGAAATGATATGTGCAACATATTTCCCTGAAGGAAAAAGAGGGAACCTCTATAACAATCTGAAAAGCAGCTGAGGGTCTCCAGATGAGATGCTTATGTGATTTTTTGAAGGGAAGTGTCTGAACACCTCACCTTTCTTTGTGTGAGAAGTGGGGAGCAGGGGCACAGTGCAAATGAAGCAGCCTGACCACGGTTCTGCAGGACCTCTGCTGAGCCAGGAGCTTCTCTTGCAAGTCCAGATCTCTGCTTTGTTCACCAGAGCACCCTGTGGCAAGTCTCTTATCTGCAGGCTCACAGTTGTTCTTTTCTAGAAGAAAGGATAAATCCTTGAGAGAATGTCTGTGTCTGTCAATCTGAACAACTCCTCCTGCTCAGTATTTAAACGAACACGGAAAAAAGCCCCCAGTGTGACTTGTGGGGAGGACAGCAGAAACAAAGAAATCCATGTCCTACAGTGTCACTTTTGCTCCTTTATATATCCCACATTCCATTGAGGGAATAGCCCTCATTCTACTTTCACTAGTGGTTGGTCATATATTCTTAAATAGTCTCCAGAACTGTTTAAGTTTCTTTCGTTCCCCTTTAGGAAATGGGTAATTGGTCTCTTTATCAAACTGTTCACAGTCCAGTAGTTTAGGATGAGTGAGTAAGACCTTAAGACTATTCTTTATTTGGCAGTGGCCCAAACAGGTGATTTTTAAGGCAATCTTGGATCCTTGCTTTCACCTAGACTGACCACTCACAGAAGACGAACTACTCCTTTACTCAAGCCAGGTGATCTTCATACGTTTAAAATACAGGATTGTTCCCATCTGTGAAAAATGCACAATATAAAAGAGAACATGACAAATGTTACCACCTGGAAGAAATACAGTCAGGTAAGAACCATACTTCTTCCTTTCTTTTATTATTATTATTATCCGCTTAGAATTGGGCAGCTTCAATTAAACAATATAGATCCTTCTGGACTCTTATCTTCTTGCCACACCAGGGATGGGTGTGACACCATCCAATACAGGGATCCGGATTTATATAGCTTGGAGATTAAGTATCATGGATGATTTTATTTGTCTAGAGTCATAATTGAAATGAAGAGCTGAAGTGCTTCCTTTTCTAAGGAGCATCAGACTTTGTTCACACTAGCACCATTTGTGCTCTGGTTCTGGGAGCACCTTCAAATGTAGTCACAGACTTTCTCCTGCGATGAGGAGATTACAGGTAGGTAAGGAGGAAGAAAGAACTGGGGCTGTTCTCAACTTTCTGTTGCCGTAGCTTCAGAATGATCTTCCAGCAACAGTGCTGCAGTTCTTGCCCTCTTTGTTAATATTTTGTTGTTAAAATATGCCATCTTGGAAAATTACCTCTGAGTGGCTGGCCTGTTCGTTAAACATTAAAGCTCAGGTTTGTGATTGTTACTGGAAAAAAAGTGAGACAATAACATTTACACTCTTTTGATCATTTTTGTCCACCAAGTAGGGAAAATGTCTGTCTGCAACATGCTAAACTATGTAGGTAAGGCATCTTCAGAAAGGGTGGGCTGATAATCTAGGTCTGATAGAGGTCTAGCATTGATATGTGTACCTTGGAGTAGACTAGAAATAAATTTTCCTGGCATGCTAAACAGTCAGAGAGTTCAGTATTTCTTGCTTTCATTTTCTTTTTAGCAGCCTAGTAGTTCCAAACTCAACAACCTCCCTTCAGCCTCCTTCTATTTTACATTGCAAATTGGTCATTTAGGGATTTCACTGTGAAAATGCTGTGCTTTTCCATCTCCCAGCAAGTGTATTTTTAATACCATGTCTATTTTCTGCCTAGGTAGATGCCACTTTTCCCACTGTAGTTGGTATTAGTTTCTTGCTTTGGAGGGGAAATACGTAGCTAAACTCTATTGTCTGACACAGCCTTCAGCTTCCCTTCCTAAATTCCCAAATACTTTCAAATATATGACAAAAATATCAAGTAAAAAGCCTGAAACTAAGTCTCTATATTGGAAATTTGATGAGGAATGGAATACTTTAACATATAGAATGTCGTGTAAAGTTTTCTAGAACCTCTGTTTTATGGTTGAAGATGTTTGAGGTCAATCATTTACAGTAATAAGCATTAAGATGACACCAGCTTGTGTGGGCTGGGTTAAATTTGGGTTCAAAAATGTAAGCAGCAAACCATATAATTATATCAAAATGGGATTCACTGTATGATGAGGAAGGTTTGGTCAGACCTCCTGAAACGCAGACATTATGGATGTTTTGGGGTTTAGGCATTATGAATAGTCCTTTCCTAGAGGACTTTTCAGTGCTGCAGAGGAAGTTCTTCAGTGAGGTACTTGTGAGACCCAAGTTGGCTGTGTTCACTGGTAGAGAGGCACCGAAATTCCAGCACACAGCGGTAGCCAGTTTTTAGTACATTTCTTTTCATTCGTGGCCTGGAGGGATGAACTCTGAAGTGAGGGAAAGCTGAGTGTTAATGTCTTGGCTGCAACTGTGTGCACCGTGTGCTATGACAGCTTGTGGCAATTGTGACTTCCCGATATAGCAAGATGCTAGGCGTGTGGCTGAGTATTGTGGCTTAACAAGTTATCACCATGAGAAAAGAACAGAGGCTAGCAAGCTGGTGGGGCTGAAGTCTGGGCTTGAAAATGCTAATTTGCTTACAGCAATGGCCACTTCTGCAGTCCTTGTTTGCCTGGCTGTGGGTAATTGCTGGTTGGGCTGGTTCCACCTATGCTCATTGTGCGCTCGAGTTCAAGTTGAGCATTAAAGTTTAAATCATTGACTTTGGCTTCAAATTAGAGGGCTATTTTTTAAATGTTCTCTCACTTCCCCACCCATTTAGCAACTGCTTTGACCTCCAGGGGCTTCATTTCCCTGAAATGCAGAGATAAATCTAAATTTGTTTCCTGATGTTGTGGTAATTCATGCATTGTATTGATGCTAGTTTCTACCAGTTTTAATTTTTTTTTTTCTCTATAATACTCTTCTTGGAAACCTGAAAAGATCTCTCTCTCTCGCTCTCGCTCTTTCTTGCTCTCTTTCTCTCTTCAATTTTTGCCTTTTGTCCTGCCATAGGAAAAGCAGAAAGGAACAATTAAAAACATTAGAAAATATAAGCACCTGCTTTTCTTTCCTCTCTGTCAGAGGTCTCTATCAATATCACATTGCTTCTTAAACACACATTGTTTTTTTCCACCTCAACTTCCCCAGACTGTTAATCAAGAACTGTTTCCCCCCTCCTCCACCTCTCTGTTAAATGCTGTCTCTTCCCTCTGGAACAGTTTGKTTTGGACTTCTCTATACCTTGGACATCAGTGGGTTGTAAAATGAGGCAGATTATAGTGATTTGAAAGTTCCTGTGAGGCAAGAGTGATCTTTTCAACAATATCTGTTAAAGCTTCCTCATCCTTGGCAGCTGGAGAAAATCAAAAGTAGTACTTTTGCTTGCACTGAAATTAACTACATGTGGTTTGAAAGTTTGCAGGCGCCCTATCCAAGACTGCAAACTGCAGATTAAAGTTTTCTTTTTCTTTTTTTTTTTTTTTTTTTCCCCTTTCTTTCATTTTAGGTGTTTCTTACTGCATGCAGCAGCATTTACTGCTCAGAAATCTGCTCGTACTGGCAGTTGCCTTTTCCTTTTAACTTTCATTTCCTTATGCAAATTACTTTGAGACTAGAATCAAACCAGATGTTTTTGGTAAAGTATTAATATTTGATCTGTCTTTTCTGTCTAAGTGTTTAACTACAGTAAAATGGAATAGTTTGGCTGTTGCTGATGAAGTTATTCTACTTTGCACTAACTTACTGTCTGACCTTGATTAGATTTGCAGTCTTGTTCCTCTTTCCTTTCCCCTCAACCCCAACCTGTCCCACTTCACAAACAAAATGAAGTCATGGCCACGGCTGCCTTTTTTGAGCATTCTCATTTAAGAGACAGTCCTTACAATACATGTTCTCTCAGCAGGAATTGATATGTATTTTGTTGACCCTTACTGATGGCAAATGTTACTGCCAAAATGCAAGTTCCTTATATCAGGGACTGCATTTTACCCAGTCACTCTGTGTCTTGCCATAAAACTAGCTAACTTGTAAAGGAATACTATCACTTAATATTTTAATTCTCCATAATCAAATGCTAATTTTAATATTCTTACCTGTTAAACAGCCAGAGAGTTAGTTACTCCCTGTTGTCAGATAAATTCAGTTGTATAATTGTAAGAGAATCAAGAATGGGGAAGAAATTGTGCTCTGCCATATAGTGTAGGCAAGATTTTTCGACTTGACTGGATGTTCAGTCTTCTGCTGTGTTCCTATATTCCTGTGTTCCTATGTTCCTATCTGTTTGGCTTTCCAATTTCAAAAGGAGGTCAGATATATTTTTTAAAATTGGTATTACTGTCTTGCTAGAAATCCAAGGAAAGAGAAATTTGTACTATTGCTATAGGTACATTGTTGCTGGCATGTGCTTTGAAAGCAGCAGTTATAGCAGTGATGGACAGTTTTTCACAGGAAGATGAAGATGTTATTTGATTTAAATTGCAACAAATGTTTAGGCTAGATATTAYGTTTGATGGTAGGAATTGCATTCTTTTAACTTTAGGCAACTGAACTGTCATACTTGAGAATTTCAGGACCTTAGACTGGGGAATATCTCAGAGGAATGCTCCAGAGCTGAATATGTGTCTGTTCTTGGGCTGAATTGAAATAAAGAGGTAAGATCTGTGTTTTCTTTGATCACTATAATACCTGATTTTGCATAAACATATGAAAGGTTCTATTATGTAGAAAGCGCAACCTCTCATCTTGTTATGAATAACTTAGCATCCTTTTCTATAGACAGATCCTCCAATCCAGGCCTCAATTCCAAGTGGTGCACAGAACTCGAGCGTCTCAAAGCATCAGGTTCTGGTAGTATGGTCGTGGTTCAATGAAAGGTGATTTAACTGTTTTGTAATCCAGTTCTGGCTGACTTTTGAACCAGCCCTGATTTTATTGTCCCCTGGAAGTTCAGATTTGACACACAACCTTCCAACTCCAAAGCAAAATTTGCTTTCACTCTGTGTCTAGTTTTATTAGCCCAGCTGTCAGCAGGACAGTCAGGTCTAAGGATGAAAATAGGAGATTGTGAACTGAGATATTTCTGTAAGGCTTCGACTTTTTTGGAAAGTGTTGGGTTTTGCAAGGTGTTGGTCCTTACAGATTGATAAGAATAATCATTTGTGAAATGCTGTCTTCCCTGTTCATCCTCTTTGTTCTCTTTATCTGTCTGGGAGGATTACAGGCACATTTTATCATTGCTTCTTCTTGCTGTTTGTGCAGAGCCCCCAGGCCAAGAGAAAATGAGTGAAGGTGTATCTTTTTGTTTTTGTGATCCTTTCCAGAAAAACTAACTCTTCTTTTTCCAATCACAGAGCTAAGCTGTCTTCTCACCTTCTTATATTTCTGTTTATGTCAGAATAAACTTTTTCACCTAAATCTACAAAAAAGTGACCAAGTCTGAGAGCACTTCATATGTGCCTTTGTTGTTCTTCCTGTGTTTCAAAAGCACAATCCTCCTCTGTCACTTAAGTATGATTGGGCACTTACAACCGGACACGGCAAGACATTTTGTAGAATAGCATGACAGACTGCAGTTGTCAACTGCAGTTGTCTTCCTAGATTCATGGCAATGAACATGATGTCATTCTTTTAGTTCAGCAAGTTGATAGGGATGCAGTAAATGCATACATTTTGCCCTGTGTACTTTGTGCAGAGAATTAATATGTGTTGTTATAACCAGACATGATAGCGACAAGGGGATAATTAACTATTTCTGAAATCAAAAAGGCAAAGCTTAAGTAAATGTTGGCACAACTGATGCTTCAGAAGGATCTGTTCTGCTCCAGTCCATAAATAATCTCTGTATTAAATATCTCCATATATCTGTCCAGTGGACTACAGAGAATAAAGTAAAATCATATCTAGTGCAAATTCAGTGAGCTCAGAATGTGTTACTAGGACTGATTTTGACACATTACATAATTTATAGGACTGGGACTGTCTCATGGGCACATTAAAATAATATTCTTATCTTCATTTTAAAGCAATCAAACTCCCACTAAGATGACATGACAGCCAAAAATAATCAGCATAAGATAGCAAGCATCAAAAATAAATATGAAGATGGCTAAGTCTTCTTTGTGATTTAGTCCTGCTTTGCTTGGGCTTAGCACAAGGACATAGAATATAACAGCTCATTCTCATCTGTTAGCCCCGTTAACACCCTTGAAGGACACTTCAGAGTGAGTCATGGGAGCAATGGAGCAGCAGTAGCAACACTGGATTTCCTCTGCTTTGCATGTCTATATTTATCTTAGCTTCCTCTACCTATCCTTTCTCCTTCACTCAGGAAGGAAATAYTTAATAGCTGGAATATCCTTATTTGTTGCAATTTCATCTCTGTAGTTTACAAATCAAAATATCTCCATGTATTCATTCCAATTTCCTTGCTAAGTTTTGTTTGTAACATTGGAAAGAAAATAATATAAGGGAAAAAAACATATTGGAATTACTGGTTGAAAAGACATTCAGCAGGTTTTGGTGCAATGCTTACCTTAAGTGGGCTGAGCACTGTTTAAGCACAAGTGCCTGGCACCATGCACTGGGTCTATCATGACACTATCAACAATATTTAAAATAGTCTAGGAGTATGCCTTTGAGTGTAGGGAGGCATGTATGTACCATCCCCAGGTGAGAGGTAGTTAGYGATGTTCATATTTGCTTCAAGTTGATTGACCCTGAAGTATATCAATATGTTTCTTAACATGTAGCTATCTCCTCGTAGTTTTTATATCTCTTCCTATCTTTTGTAATTAGTCTTGAGGGTATAACATTTAGTCACTTAGCCTGATGGCACTCAGTGAATTCAGAGATACCTGCAGCCAATCTTCAGGAACTTGCAATCTTACTTATATTTATCTCAAAGTAATTTATTTTCATATATTATATAGTATTTGTTTTGCTAATATCTGGGTCTCTGTAAGTAGGTGGAATAATAAATAATCTGTGTTCTCACCATCTACTGTAACGTTTTGCTTAAACTGATTCTTCATTTCAATTTCAGAGCTGCTTTGAATGCATCATCCACATGGGTTCCTTAACACTTTTACTGTTTGTGTTCCAATGTGTGGAGAAGTTTGGGATACAAAGGTGAACCTGTCAGTGGAGAAGAAGAAAGATGCTGCAGGAGGGCACATACAGATTGTAGAAGAGCTCCATTTCTAAACTCTGCATAAAATCTATTGGTTTCTTCCTCCCCAGGCAGTCATGAATATCAGCTAGCAGTCATATACTGATACTTCTTTAATAACTAGATATTTCCTTCTTTGTCTCTCATAAGCAAAAAGACTTTTTTGCCACCTCTCTTCAGCAAATACGTACAGGACTGTAGTGCCTATTCTGGTCCAGAAAACACCTCTGCTCTACTAGCTAGCAAGTCACTCTTCATTTTGGAGTGCCTGTGCAGTCTTGTGCTACTAACAGCCATACCTTTCTTCAGATCGTCACATCTACAAAACCTCCCTATTTTCCCTTTCCCAAACATGTGTACTTTTCCTTCCCCAAACAAGTGCCAGAATCTGGTATGTGCACAGAACGGTGCCACTTTCATTGCTACTTTGTGAAAAGGAGGAAAGATATATGAATACATATCAGGGAGCCTCCACTTTAATTTGGTGGTGGTCAAAACCATATGGTTGATGACAAACATGCTCTTGTTGCCTCCCAAGTATTCTGGGACCGGTTTCCTACAAATTCTTTGTCCTTGTCTAATTTCTCCTGAAAGAGTATCCCAAGCAACTGCTACCTGCAAATACCTTTAAAATCTCTTACGATATAAAGTTCTTCTGATCAAATTGGTGTGGCTGCTGTTTGCATATGAGTTTATTTTGTTTTTATATGCTTTTTCTAAGCATACTGCATTTCTGAGCATACAGCAGTGGGGTGTATTGAAAGCAGTGAGGTAGGACTATTCTGAGTCACGGTGGTGTCAACCACTGTCTTCCACAGAAATACTTAAGTTTCTGACTCATTCCGGCCTGAGAACCTATTTGCAATTAGCCATGTCATAAAAGGGTCCCAATGTTTCAGCAAGAAAGAACATCCTGAAGAGAAGGCCTTAATGGGAAAATCCGTCTTCTTTGTAGTTTTAGGGACAAAGCTATTTGGTTTTTTGTCACTTATCAGTGAAAACTAGACACAGTGTGGGAGAATGTCTGGACCATGTTCAAAAATGGTTTGCTGAGCACTTTGGAACTGCATTAGCACTAGGATTTCTGCAACTTTTGTATCCCTGTGATTGTTCAGTAAGCTAGGAGCATTTTCATCACTCAAAATGAATATTTTGATCTAATAAAAAAGGAAAGCATACTTCTAAACTGAATTTGCTACACATGCAAATCAATGKGTGGGACTGAGAGCAGAAATGACAGCAGATTGAAGTAGGACTAATTGAGTCAGGTCCTGATTCTAAAGCAGCAAGGTTGAAGCCATAGGGGCACTACTGCTGCTGCAGGCTATTATGATAAAGGCTATTATGAAAGACTGCAGAATGGTTCTRAATCTTCTGTTACTATAGAAAAGTGTCTAATTCCTGAAACGCCCTTGGATAAAATACCCTATACTTTTGAAGTTAAGTACACTCACTGGAGTGAGACTGGAGAAAGTGTGCATATGAGTGTTTTTCTTTGAACCATGCCCTCAGCTGTGCTGAAAACACAATATATGTTTCCTGTACAATGACTGTTCCATTACATATTTATGGGTAAATCAGTACCCAAAGCCCTTTGGCAAAAGCTAGTGATCTGCTAGATGAAAAAACGCCCTGTAATTTGCTATTGGCATCACAACTCATGGGATTTTAATCTTATTCACAAAATATATATATTTAAACAGAGAATCTTCTTAAAAATGGTAAAACCACATGTAGGCAAACACTGACTAGACCATTTACCGCATCCTATGCAACTCACAACTCTAAAAAGAATCTCTTTTGCTCCCTTTCTCTCTTTTTTTTTTTTTTTTTTGGTATGTTTTTTCTGTTTTAGCAGAAATATGCTTGTTTGGACATGAGTCTAGACATACTGATTTGAAGGGAACAGGTACATTCCACATCTCCTGCCAAAAAATCTAATGATTCCCCAGTTAGGGTTGCTGCTGGAAAGAGCAGACTGGACTGAAYGACTCTGGGCTATTGAGCTGTGCAGGATAATTTGACTTTTCAGATGGGAGAGTAGTATTCATATTAAATTAAAAAAGAAAAATGGAGACATCCATTGAAGGAAGCACTTAAGTATCTCTCTCTGGAAATATTGTGCTTGAAAGTCAATGTTTTCAGTGCAGTGTATGTTCTAGCAGAGATGCCTACTTGAAGGCCTATCTTGGAGGCTTCATGCATTTTATCAAATAGCTGTTTAAAATAAAATAAAATAAAATAAAATAAATGTACTCTTGAAGCAGAGGTCAAAAATTAGGTTTTTCCTATTTCCCAGAGAGTGCCCTAAGTGGTTTGACTGGAAAATGACATTCCTGGTCCACTAAATCTTGAATTTCTTTCTGAAGCTGGAACAGCTCCAGAAGAAAGAAATGAACATTTTCTCTGTATATCATTTCTTTGAAAAAAGAACATTTCTTCAGCCTCAAATGCTCTATACATCTGCCTCTTAGAGCCCTCTCCCAGACAATGAGGGAAGAGCAGGTGAGCTACTTTAGTTGAACCCACACAGAGTTCCCACTTCTTGCGTGAATATGCTAATTATGGAGCTATTGGTTTAAAAACGAGAAAAAAAAGGAAAARCAAAAAGTAGATAAAAGCACATATCTATGCTGCCATGCTTTAAAAGAAAGGTATGATTATGCTTCTCCTTGAAAAAAATAATTAAAAAAGACAATTGTAGATTTTAGACTGTGCATCTTATTTTATTCTACTATCTGTGTTTAACCAAAGCTCACAGAGTTACACTTTTGAGACTCAAGACTCCTAAGGATTTAAGACAGTATTGCTTACAGGTGCTGGTGGCCTCCAGTCATTGCTCTGCTGCTTTTGGGGACCATTCCTCCCCCCACACAAACACAGAGGACTAGGATGAAGGACATAGGCCTGAAAGTAGTATTCTCAGTCCTGTCAGTAAATAACATGTTTTGGTAGAGCAGATRTATCCCATGTATCAAGACTGGATTAGTTGGCAGGTGTTATAGACATGGCTTATGTCTATAACTTGGCTTTATAGACCTAAGACCCTTTAGCAGAAATGAGGACTGCTGGGGAAAAATGGATCTATCTATCTAACAAAGAGGAACATGACCATTTTTGTCAACAGGGTTGCTAATCAGCAAGGAATGCTTTGAACCCTCATCACAATCTTAAGTAAYGGAACATGCAACAGAGCATGGGGCATGGCATTCTGGGAAGCTCTCATATTCATTCCCCTTCTGAATAACTTCAGAAACAAGTGGAACTGGAAGTCCATGCAGTCTCAGACCAAGACCACCCTGGGACTGCAGAGAAAAGGAGGGATAATTCTCAAGATTGCAGAGCTGCAGTGGGTGGATACAGGCTGGTTAGGAGGGACAGCCAAAGACAAGGCAGGGGTCACCTTCTGTGAAGCAGAGCATCTCAAATGTGTGGAGCTCTGCACTGCAGGAAGGCAAGGCCTGGCTTAGAACCTATGTGTCAGGATGAGAGGGGAGGCCAACACASGGAGTAGTTTGGTAGGAGTCGCTACAGACTATCCAATCAAGAAGCGGAGCCAAATAAGGCTGTTTTCATTCAACTGAAGGACACCTCATGAAAGAAACCACAAACCATAATGATTCATAGGTGACTCCAGTATTTGCTGGAAGGGCAGGAGAGTTGGATGCAAGCATTCCAGTGTTTGGGACAATTTTTGGTATAGATGTTGGATGGACCAATAAGGGGAGGGGTTCTGTTGGACCAGCTGCTTATGAACAAGGAGCAACTGGTTGGAAATAGGACAGCCTGTGGTAGTCTTGGCAGAAGACTCCATGAGTTAGTGGTGGTTCATATCCTGTGGGAAGTGAGGAAAGTTAGCAASAGAGTCCAAATGGTGGGTTTAATGTATACAGACATGTATTTCTTCACAGAACTTTGCAGGCAAGATCCTGTGGGAAGCTGCCCTGAAGAATAAAGGAACCCAGGAAATCTCGCTGTTCACCAAGGATAATCACCTCAAAAACACAGGAATGATCCATCCTACTCCATGAAAAAGTGAGCAAGTAGGAGACCAGATTGACTGAGTGAGGAATTCTTGGCTGGGCTCAAATGCAAAAAGAAAATATACAGGGAGTAGAGGCAAGGATGGACTAAAAAGGAGAAATATAGAAGCATCAGCCACACATGGGAATAAAATTAGAGGAGATGAAGCTTTTCTGGAGTTGAAAATAGATAGGCATGGAAGTGGTAGTAAGAAAGACTTCAGGTACACTGTCATCAAGGAAGATAACCCTGAAAATTCCTGTTATATGAGGAAGGCAATTTACTGACAAAAGACTTGTAAAAGACTGTAGTATTCAATGCTATCTTTGCTTCAGTCTTTACTGATAAATTCTGCCTTCGTGCCTGCAAAATTTCTGTGTAGGAAAAATTATGTGAGAGGTGTACTGCCCACAGTAGAGGATGACCAAGTTAGGCTGACATAAGGGATCTGGCCATATACAATCCATATAGGATTCATAATCCTGTAAAGGAACCATAAATAAATTCTATAAAGGATTATATATATAAATCCTATATATACATATCCCATATATAAATCTTATAAAGGAACCATAATCCATAAAGGAATGGAAAAAATGCATTTGAGAGTGGTGAAAGAGCTAAATCTGTTTGAAAAGTGATAGCCACTGGAGTAGATCAAATAAACAAATATCACATCCTTCTTCAAAAAGCAAGAAAGAGAATCTGCGGAATTACAGACCTCACCTCTACAGAAATAGCTTCTCCCAGAAGCCGAATCCTGTCACATGGAGGATGAGATGGTGACTGGAGACAGTCGGCATGGATTCATCAAAACTGCCCAGACAGATCTATGATTAGATGAGGAAGGAAAAGTGGATGTCATTTACCTTGACTTTAGCAAGGTTTCCCAACACTGTCTCCCAGAGTATCCTTGCAGTCCAGTCAGGGATATATGGACTTGATGTGTAGACTACAGAGTAGGTGAAAACTGGCTGGACGAATGTGCTCAAAGACTAGTGCTCAAAGACTAGGAAATGGAAATCCAGCTGGCAGCTGAACACTGGTGACTTTCCTAATTGGGGTTGTTCTTGGAGCTGATACTATTTAACATCCTTAACATCCAGACTTTGGGAGTCTGGAGGTGTGTCCAGATGATGCCCTGAGGTTCCCCCCACCAAAAAAAAAAACAAAACAAAAAAAAACAAAACAAAAAAACCCCCACCTATTCTAAAATTCCATTCCATTGCTGGGACTAGATTCCTAAAGTGAGATACTGTGATATGAGGGCAGGAATCATCTCACCTATCTGAGATTGGATGAGATTTATTTGTTTCTGGGGTGGGCAGCATCTGATAGAGAGGCAATCTAATACTATATTGAGGCTAGCAGAGAAAATTACAAAGAAAAAATTTAATATTACTGTATGGGCTCAGTTAGCTTACTTGATAAAGAAAAACATCTCAAAGTCTACATCCTGTATCCTGTAGAGACAGAATACAAAAAGAATCCTAATTCTCCATTCCCACAGATATTTTTAGAAGGAACAGCCTAAGAGAAAAGTCAGTCTTGCAACATTTGTGAATAAAACTACCACAAGTCTCTTTAATCAATTAGTGAGATTTTTTTCTCTTTCAATCCTTTATTGAACTAGTCATATTAAATTATTTCCAACAGACATGTAATTCAAGAATGATCTGGCTAGTCTGATATATGTTTATTTGAAATACAATGAATAGATCA